CTAAATATTTTTATATATTATTTTAACAATCCTGGAAAATATATATTTGCAATGACTACCTGGTATAACCTCTTGAGTGCCTTTTTTTTCTCATATTTTGTTACATACTTTTTTTCATGAACTTGCCTTTTCTCCATCCTCTTGAGACTCTATGTGCGTGGTATTCTTTTTTTTTTAGGTGGATTAGAAGGACCGTCATCCATTGTTTATCAATTAAATGATGTTAATGACATACAGATACTAAACACTATAGAGGTAGAGTAATAGCAGAAAGGCATGCAAACACGACATATATGTACCATATACCTATATATTACATCGCTATACTACACCAACACAGGTGGTGTACCACTGTACCCTCGTATGCACTAGACTGGTCAAAACAATAACTAATTTTTCGTACAAAGTTAAATTATACACATAAATATCATTTTTCCCACTTCATGTGTTATTAAAAATATATATTAAATAAATAATGATTTTCAGACATATTTGTTTATTGAAAAACAAAACTTTATTTTTTGTTTGTCTTTGACCTCAGCAGTAGTCGTAGGAGCCCCCTTAAATCTTTCATATTAACAATTTTTTAGCCCTTGCATATTTTAGTATTGAATTCGATTAAAAATCATGGAGCACATTCCGTAGACGATGTGTTAATTGAATTTTTGAATGAGTTACATTCAAGTAAAGGACCAAATAGACTGTGCAATCACCACAATCTGAAAACATATCATTTGGATGTCCTGAAACAAACGAATGGTACTAACTGTGGTATATACCTTCTGCAGTACGCTGAATCATTTTTGAAGTTACGATATCAAAGTATGTTGTAGGAAGAAATCTTTTGGTAACTATTAGTGTGTTGGCAAATTATTATGATTATTATATTAAAATAACCAAATTAACTAAAGGGAGACTATTCCTTGAGTAAGACAGAAATATTTATGTAAAATTATTGACGTATGGGTTGTTGTAGGGTTATTGTAGAAAGAAATTATTTTAAACAATGCAATACAAGAATATGAAAATCATAATTGATAAAGACTGCATAATTTGTTTCATTAGCAAACATCACATTTAATTGGTTGCGAACAAAATTCTGGTTAGTATAAATACGTTTTGATGTACGAATTTCATGAGGGCGTAAATGCTTTCCGACATTAATTAGAACAACAGTTATCAATTGACAATCCATGCACCCAAATACTGCACAACCTATGGATACTAGTAAAGGGAATTTATAAACCAGAGATATTTCTTTGTGTAATATAAAATGAAATTTAATTGTTCTCAGTCAAAAATTTAAAGCTATAATTATAGCTATAAATAATAGCTGTAATTACAGCTATAATTGCCTACAATTATAGCTATAACCACCTACAAAGTAGCTATAAATGTCTACATAATTATATATAGCTATAAAAATTAGCTGTTTTCCCGCGAATTTTTAACAACAAAATTCATGTCATAATCTTTTTTTTCTAAGGTATATCAGCCATGATCGACACCATTATCCGTATAATAACACCAAAACTGGGGGGTTCAAGTATTTTTGAACAGTAAAAACTTTATTTGTTGCATAAATTTTCTTTTTTTATGTTCAAAAATACTTGAACCTCCCAGTTTTGGTGTTATTATACGGATTATAGCGCCTACCATGGCTGGAAATACCTTAGAAAAAAAAAGATTATTAGATGAATTTTGTTGTTTAAAATTCACGTAAATTTTATAGCTGTAAACAGTTACTTTTTATAGCTATAATTTGTAGATATTTATAACTACTTTGTAGATGATAGTAGCTAAAATTATAGGCAATTATAGCTGTAATTACAGCTATAAATTGTTGACTGAGTTGTGTCAATATTTTTTTTAAGAGAGTAATTTTGATCTAATACTAATGGAGACACCTTTTTACAAAATTAAGAAAAATCAGGTAAAATGTACGGTATTATTGATGAGACTGTCAAATATCGACGAATGTATATATAATCAGTGGGACATATGTTGTACCCACAACTGCAGTGTTTGTACACGAGACCCATAATATGGAGAAAAAATATTTTTAAGTAAATATACTCGAAAATGTATCGAAATAAACACAAAAATAACATAATCAAACTTGCACTTACCGACAGAACTATTAATTAAAAGATTGTTTATTAATTGAAAGATACGCAAGGGTGTTGTAGTGTGAGAATGACAACACACTTGATCGGTGTTAATGGTACAGTTGAAAATCCATTGTAGATTTTTTAAATTATTTTCTTTAGATTCCTCCACCCAGCTTACAGTAAATAAAGTATGTCGTACAAGTATATTATATAAAACAAGGTATTTTACAATAATTACCTAAAGATAAAAGTTATATTGTAAATAAATTGAAGTTGTGTGTGTGCGTGTGTGTGTGTGTGTGTGTGTGTGTGTGTGCGCGCGCGCGATACAGTTTTAACTAATATAACGTTGTAAAAACGCTGAAATCGAGAGGGATCGTTTTATTTTTTCAACGTTTTGATTTCCGATGGTAAATTTTGTATTGCATAGTTGTAAGTTTTATGATGTCGATCACTGATAATAAACAATTATTTACTTATGATATAATTATTATTTATAGAAGCCGATCGATACTTATGCTGATCTGAATTTAGAAAGCTGGTTCACTAAAGAAAACATTGAGACAAAAAGAGAAACAATCAAAATAATTATTTTGAAACTGGCCACAGAATTTTTAAGACTACAAATTGTTATGATGTGTTATTAATTGTTTGTATTGTATTTGTGATAATAAAAAAAGTTTTATGTATTTTAACACATTATCTTGTCACGAGGGTGAATTTTGTAATTAAAAAGGAGACAAATATTTGCCAGGGACCAAAAGTAACAGACAATGGTTATTAACGGAGTATCGACATTTGCAACCCTACCCAACCATTTTTAGGAACAGAAAAACAGCGATAAATACTACTTATCGCGTTTCATTTTTTTAAATCATAGCCAAACGAATTCGTATGACCGTAGTATTCTCTTATGATAACGTTATACCGCGCATGATAATGCAGAGCATGTACTTGTCATACTTTTATTGTAAATAGTTTTTTAATTGTAAAATAATAAACTGATATAGATGTATAAGAAATATAGATATAAATAAGTATACATCCATGAATGTATCGTATATATTATTAAAATGTTATTACTTACCATTCTTATCTTTTATTCGCTTGTTGATCGTCAATGGTAGTTCAGAAAATTTATACTATTAAGAATGTACGTAATAAGCGAGATAAATTCTGTATAGATATTGCGCTTGCATTTAAAGTCTTTTTTTCTTGTATTTAATAAATGTATAAAAGCTTGTTTGTCTATGCAGAATTGAAGTTTACATGTAACCTTATAGAGGTTCTTCGATCTAATTATTATTTGTTTTTTATATTATAAATCATCCCAGTATATATAATAGCAACGAAATCTTTGTTATTGATTACAAATAGTCATTTGTAATTCAATTCGACTTTGGTATTTAAAAAAAAAATTTCTAATCCAATAATAAATTTATTACTTGTTTGACTGAACATTGGATCATGGGGTTTTAAAATGCTTATGTTATGAGGTTTTAAATAGTATATATTGAATTGCAGTTTGAATATATTTCATAGTAATCCATTTTTAACATGTGAATCTCTCGTGCCAGTATTGTGACCGGTCAAAATTTAACTTTCTACCCAATTGAAAATGTCTAATAAAAACTGATAAAATTTTTTTTCGTCTGTTTCTATTCGGTTTTTGCACTAGGAAAACCACATAAAAAACAATAACGTTTGGAAGTTAATTTTTCTCATATCTATTTTTTTACTTGCATGAGATTAAACATAAGGAACTTGTCAATTTCAGTCGTACCATCCTTCGTTCGTAGCCACTTTTGGGAGGGCTGGCGGGGACGATAATTTTTAGTCGGTAGATCCGACACTACCACCAGAATAGCCGGGGTGTCTATGAAAATTTGTTCCTCCTCGCTTTATGAAAAAAAAATAATCTCAGATTATAGATAAGATATGTATAGGTAAGATGATCATAAAATCAAGTTATTTTTCCAGCCTTAGAATGTTAAAAAAATTGCCGTAAGTAGGCATCTTTGCATAAATTATTACAAAACGTTTGTCAAAGTTGCAGCATAAACTTTTCTGTTAGGGGGTATTGTTGGCGGCATATTCTCGGGTAGTAGGAAAGTTTTTATCTTGCCGCAAATAGTATTTTTAACTTTTAACGTCTTATTATGTCTCTTAGACTAAATTGCGGCAGTATTATCATTGGACCATACTGCACTTTTTATATTAATATGTATATATATCTCGTGGTCAACAATAAAGATCACAAAACTACTTTGAATCTCCTTAAACCATGACGTTTTTCAATTTTTGAGAGAGTTGCGGCAGTAACTTTTTTTTTACACATTGAGCTTAGCTTATACGCTGGGTGCATGAGGGTGGAGGGGCGGCTGGTGCTACTATATAGGCTACTACTGCTACTTAGTCACTTGACCATTGTTGCTTATGGCTTATGGGTTATGTGTTTTGAGAGAAACTTCGCCAATGACTAATGGGCTTGTTTCTAGCATCAGGTGGCGCTAGTGTGCCCATGTAAGATTTTCATAGAAGTATACCTATATACTGGATGGATTTCAATTAGATTCCATTCAATATATAGGTATACTCCTATGGAAATTTTACATGGGCACACTAGAGCCACCTGATGCTAGAAACAAGCCAATGACGGCCACTTTAACTATTTTTTTCCGTATGATTTAACAGATTTAAAATGGGTTTTAGGGCATGAGGGCAGCACTGGTCATGCACCTGGCCTGCAGTCAAGTAGCCGTACCGTATAGTTGTGTAAACAGGACAACAGGACTGCGTAGAAGAGCGTAACGTATGCATAGGTATACTTCTGTCAAATCGGGTGAACACAGTGAACACTGAACGGGCTGTCGCTATTTTTGTCTCATCTTATAAATATATGGAGAGCTGAACAGTAAAAGACGCCAAAGCGCCAATTGTGATTTGTTTCGACTGCTGCCGTACTCTGTAACGTCACTGTAAATTTTATCACTAAAATGACGATTAATTTAATAAATTTAGTAGAAAAAAATTTGCGTACATACATAAAATAGTGGTTCTAGTTTGATAAATTCAAGTAAATGAAACTTATTGTTTGAAGAATGTTGCAAGTTAAAATGTACTAATCGGTAATACATTCAATCTAACTATTGGCTTTTGACTTTTAAGCAACGAAAACCACCAAGTTAATAACAACTCATACAATAAACATTTTTAAATAATCGAACTTGTATAAACGTTTAGAAAGTTGCTTTAATTATTTATTCTGTGACTTGATGAATGCTCGAATGGGCGTGCAGCAGCACGCACGTGTCGAAATATTAGAGTTTCTTCAGAGTGAATATGCATTTAGTTAAAAACAGTGACGATGAAAATTATTCAAAACGTGTGTGTAAAATTAATGCAATTGATTGTTTTCATGTAAACAGTAAAAATTTTTGTGAACAGAACGATAGGACAGTTTCTTGTTCTACAAAGTCAAATTCTAATGGTGATGATGAACGTGTTAAATCAATTGTGCACCACACAGGTAATAAAAAACAAACTCAATTTTCTACATTATTTTAGTCAGTAAATCTATAAAATTCAATTCAGTATCATGTCATTCAAAATAATAGTGTCGTAACTCAGCCAATATCTCAACTGTAATAAAATATAGTCGGTCAAATTTTTGTAATATTGCACAACAAAAATGTTTTCGCTAATTTAACTTTAAAGCAATTAAATACTTATTACTTTCGCAAAATATAAATATCATTTCTCCCCACGACGTTACTTCAGTTGTTTTGCTTCCGACCTAAAAGTAAGCCTTGATATCACATTTGAGAACCCCGTTTCAATTTGAACTGTCGTTACCACGTGAATGCGGTGGATGTAGATAAATGAATTACAAGTTAATTTCAAGTGCCCACCTTCAACGTATTCACAAGTATAAATGTAAATTGAAAATTATGTCAAGCATACAATCACACGTGCACTAACTATCTGAAAAGTTGTTGTGAAAAACTGTTATAGAATTTTTTTTCCATTCACAACAATAAAACATTATACTAGACTACTCGCCAATTCAGGAGTAGTGGTTAACTTATGTATGGACAATTTAATCAAAATGTTCAACTATTTGTTCTTCTAATGGGCTAAAATTGAACATGAGTCCTACGTATTACTGTACTAGCGATTGATCTAGTGATTCTCATACTTAAGGACATTATCGTCACCACTAATGACATTTACAATACAAATTCATTAAACACATACATTTTACCGTACATACGCTAGGTAACTACCTATGGCGTGAAACGCCCGTGCCATCTCACGGATGTATTTTTCAATAGAGAGGTGAGAAAACCTGAATAGGTATGTGATAACCATGTAAATAGAGCAATTTTGTTAATGAGTTAACGTCATTATAGGACGTTGCAAGTTGTAGAGATGTTTGTGACAGTGAAATTAGTCATCAAAAAATTCAAAACAAAAGCATTTTAAAAAGACAGTTTTTCTACGAAGTCCGAATTTTATGAGCTGTAAGGATAATTTTATTTCATAAGATTTCAGCTATGTAGATTACTTTTGTAAAAAATACACTTGTTTTTACTACTCGGATACCAAATTCTACCATCACAAACACTTATACCCCTTTCAGCATCCCATAATCACGTTAAATTTGAAAACAAAGTAACTATTTGTACACGGTTATCACATACCTGTTTAGCTTTTCTCACCCCCGTATTGAGGCATTTTGACAACTGATGTCGCTGTCGGCGGTAGTTACCTAGCGTATAACGTCTTCGTGTTCCTGGTAAAAATGTAGTTTTGTCCATCCTTTAAAAAGTTAGCTGAAAGTATGCACAATGCTGCGAACCTATAAATTGATAAACACTCAATGTCTACAAAGAAAAAATGAAAAAACTTCTATTGAAAAATACTTATGCTCTGCGCATAGATGTGGGACATTTCACGGTCACATCCAATACTTTTTTGGACTGACCATTTTAGAACTTTTTCCAAATTTTTTCACTTATAAAAATCACCGAAAGCAGACATTTGCAGCCCTAAGACACAATTTTCATCTACTCACTGATCTGAGTTATGCCAATCAAGTTTGTCATCCTCATTTTTTTTTGTTTTTTTTTTTGTTTTTTTTTTTTTTTTTTTTTTTTTTTTTTTTTTTTTTTTTTTTTTTTTTTTTGTTTTTTTTTTTTGTTTGCATAATTATGTCGGCTTCGGAATTGTTTAAAAACAAAATAAACATATGTCCCATAAAATATTTCTCGAATCTGTAAATTTAGAACAAAGCATTAGTTTTTAATTCAGAAGTAATATTTCAAAAACCAAGAAAAAATATGCCTGTCACCATTTTCATTAAATTTTTAATTCTTATAAGGGTGACCGTAAGTGGCTTGTTTTGTGTCCAGTATCCATGCGACGGCAGATATGTACTTAACGACTCCTTACGAAAAGTTTACTGCAGAACTCGCAATGCTGCCAGCATGATAACGCAGGAAATTCTTAGTTATTAAGGCGGTAAATTTGAATGTAAATATGCGGTCGGTAATTCTTCTGTCGGTACTTAATAGGATTTTTTTATTTTAAACACAGCCATTACCAAACTACTACTGTGGGTGAACCATGATCGTACAAGAAAAAAAAATTTACAGGTGGAGGTAGAGTTTTCTTTCAATTCGTTATTAACATTCAAATTTACCGCGTGATTTTGAATTTCCCGCGCTGTTTTAGATTAGTAGCACTGCAAGTTCTGAAGCTAACTTCTCGCAAGGAGTAACCTCAAAATACCAGCAGTTCATACTTGACAATAATTTTAGCATAGAACACGAAAATACATACCTTTGATTGTTTTAATATGTTTTTATTAAGTCTATCATTGTGTCAGTTTTTTGTTTTACTAGAAACTAAATTAGCGCGCTACGCGTGCTCATAAATTAATTTTAACTTTATCATAGGATTGTAAATTTTATCACAGATTTGATTTTCTTGTCCTCTCTTAAAGTTTTTCTTCTTTCTTTTCTCCTCTGTAAAATTCTGATGGTCTAAAATGAAAGCCTTAATAATAAATGTGAATCTAATAATTTGATTCAAATTTAATTATTTTTAGTTAAAATTATTGTCATTTATTATGGAAAAATTTAAATGAACGAAATAATTAATTTGTGCTCATGAATAAATATTAAAAAGTATGGTACATTTAAAAAAAATGTATTTCATAAAGAAGCAATGTAAAATTTTTGGATGTAAGATAATATTGTGGGCAAGAGCCATTCTATAGTAATTGAAACTTTGTTTAATAATTTTTTGGTGACATCCTCTCTTGATGCCATCTCAAAGTCCTCTCTTAATTGTTATTATAATTAAATTCATTACTATTTATACTGTTATTCCACTTCTTTCGTAAAGCCTTAAATAGTATTGGCAATCGATTGTGACACGATCAGCATTTGGCTTCAACCAACCGCTAAATGAAAATTCATATCTAATATTTTCTAATTAACTTTTAATTTTGATATAATACTTAAAATGGTACTTTTTGATTGTAATGACA